TTCGAACCGGCAATCTTCTTGAAGACTGCTTTAAACGAAAACTTATTAAATGCATATTATTTATACAAATTCTTGCTTAAGAGTCTTTCATTATTAAGCAATTAATAACAAATAAAACACTTAAAAAATACTTCAAATTTTGAAAAACCATGCAAATATATTCAGCAACAAAAAACACCTGAGCTATGTTGAGTTGTTGTGCAATGCACAGATGAGTGGCATAATTGCGTGGCAGCAGGAGCTGGATGAGAATTTGTGGTTAAGTTATTAAACGCATTATCATAAGTACAATTGACAACTTATGACTAATGATAAGCTGGCATGCAACTGGAGCAGCGCGCAGCGTTGAAGACGGAAATGTGGCAGGGCAGAGGGCGGGGCAGACGTGTAGTTTGGGGGCAGCAGCGGCAGCAAGCCGCAAATAAAGTGTTAATAATATAGATGGAAATGGCAGCGCAGTTTGCGCTTAATAAAGCAGCCGCCAGCCTGTCAGTCAGTCAAGCAGTCAGCCAGTCAGCAAGTCAGTCCGTCAAGCAGTTGGCACGCAACTGAACTGCAATATGCGGCAAGCTAGCAAAATATGAAAAATAAAAAATACAAGAAAAAAACTAAGAAGAAACCAAAGAAATAATTAAAACAAACAACAAGAGCGCAAAATGCTAAGCAGCTCGTGAGCTCAAAAGCTGGTGGAGAGCTGGCAGCTCCCTGAGCAGCTGAAGGTGTCTTTTGCGGCATCGGCCTCTAACTGACCTACCTGGCTACACGGCTACATGGTGGTGGCTAAAACTGGAATCCGTTATAGTTTATTGCCGCCGCTTGGTGCATTTTATTTTTGTTTTTTTTTTTTTTTTTTTTCAATTTGGAGCAGGTGTAAGTGGCAGGCAGGCAGGCAGCAGCTCGAGTCGCAGAGACACTTGACCGCATTTTGGAGCCACGCGCCTACAAACGAAGCAGGTGAAAAGTCTCGGTTCATGTCCTGGCCACAATCGAGGGTCGCTCAGGTTATAAATTAAGCGAGCGCCTGCAGCAGCAGCAGCGGCAGCAGCAGCGGCAACTGCGAGGGGTCATTGCAGGATTCACTGAGCCACGGCTAAGACATTGGATCGACTGTCTCAGCCGCTGGCTGCCTTTTGTATGATTGATTGTGGCTTAATGCCAGGCGGAAGCAGCTGAAGCAGGCGACGCATTTTCCAAATTGACGTAGTGAGTGACTGAGCCGATCTAACTGACTGACTGCCAGACTGTCTGACTGACTGACTGGCTGACTGACTGACTGACATACGTTACAATTGAGCCGCCGCGCACTCATTTGGCGATTTGATTTGCTGTCTGCGATAAGGCGAGCTGCAAACCCGCGCTCTCCCTCTGGCTCTCCAACTCTCACTCTCGCTCTTTTTCTCACCCCTAATCCGCCGGTTGGTGTGAATTTAATCTAGCAAAGAGCTGGCAATCCTTTTTTGCGAAAAGCTGTTACATTTACCCAATGGCCGCTCTCTAATAGCATCCCAGCCTGCTTATCAAGATGTTCACACACAGCACACACAATGATTCGAGTGTTGTCACTCTGAGGCTGAGGTTTCAGTTCGGGCCTTTTGTTGCTGATCATTCAAATGCGATGTGCTGCCAGTGATAAGGCGCCATGGCTATTGCCAGCTGCCTGTTTTTCTTTTTAGCTGCATTTTGGTTAATTGAATTGGCCATAGGCCCGACGCTGCCCCATCACCTGCTGCTGTTGCTGCCTGACTGCCTGCAGCTCCTGTCGCTCTGTCAGGGATTGTCATCTTCAAATGTCAAACACGTCGAGCTAAGTGCTCGGCTGGCTGTGCATACAATTAATTATGTCATTCACGTTGGCGACTGGCCACAACAACAACCACAATAACAACAATTTGAGACTGCAATTAAAAGGCGCTTTCGGTACGCTTTTCTGTTTAGAGTCTAAGGCAGACACGGCTTAGACGTACAGGCGCTGAGTTGAGACTTGGCTTTAAGTTGACTTCAGCTCGAGTTGAGTTCGAGTTGAGCGCTTGTCAAACGCTTTTAAAACGCCACACACATGTCCAAGCGTCGCTTTATGGAGTGTCTCTTACACACACAAATACGAGTCGGCTTTGTGGCTTTGATCTGTCAGTTTGAAGAAATCAAGCGCAGGCCAAAAACTTCAAAATGTTTTTTGTTATTTGACTTTTTTGTTTTTGCGGTGCGCTACAACAAAAATTAAAGGCAGATTTTATTGTAGCGCTTTGTTTATTGCTGTTGTTGCTGCTGTTGTTGCTGTTGTGTAGAACGTGTCAGCCAGGCTTTTGGCTTTGGGGGACGGCCAAGGGCACGACGACGACGTCGTCGCTTTTCACCAGCACGAGCTTTGCATACCGACAATGACAACAGCAGCCGCAGCAACAATATCAAAAAAATGTCGCTGTATGTGTGTGTGTGTTTTTGCAACTTTAATTGCTGTACTCAGCTTGATTTATTAGCGAATTGTTTTATACAAAAAAAAAAAAAAAAAGATGCCAACAGCCTTTAACAACAGCAGCCGCAACACAGCAACAACACCAGTTAACAGTGACTCATCTTAATAGACTTAACAGCGCTCTGTTATCTTCAAATTAAGATTAAAGGAATTTTAAAATATTTAATATTTGGTCTTATATCAAAAAATAAAAGATTAATAGAATATGCCAACAGCCTTCAACAATAACAGCCGCAAATGCAATAACAGTGAATCATCACCGCTTAACAGCAGGCTTAACAGCGCTCTGTTATCGGCAACACGATCGCAAATTGAAAGTTTTCATTGGCCGCAATTAAAGTTTGCATTGCCATTGATTTGTGGCAAGTGAAGGCTCACTGAAAGCGATGCCTCCTCACATATAATTTGGCATGTCCAATGCGCTTATTTGGGCACCCAAAATTATATACACAACGCCAGTCGATGACGACTTCATATAGAATATAACTTCTTCATACTGCATACATGTATCTGTGGCTGTGGCAGCTGCACTTTTTGGTGGCACGTCGCAGCAATTGTCTCTGCTGCCAAAGTGTGAAGTTTGCTCTGTGGCTGGGGCTGGATGGTAACAAGCCGCAACAATTGAGGCATTGCACTGCGCCACAAAACTATCTCACAACAGACAGCAGCAACTGGGAAGAAAACCTCTGCGCCTCTGCCTGCGTCGAGCTGCTGTGCATAATTTCTATAATCAGACACACGTACATATAATATCGCTGCTAAAGCACTGTTATTAGGATAATCAAATGGATATTATCGCAGGCAGCGATCGATCCGCAACAGTGCAACAACAGGCAGCAGGCAGCAGGCAGTGGCAAGCTTCGAATACCCTTGGGAAAGAGAAGCCAACAGAACTTTGTACACTTGGCGAAAAATCCGCTGCTAATTTTAAATTTGACTGGTCAATTTGCTTGTCAAATTTCAAGAAAATTTGCTTCATAAATATATTTTTAAATAAATTATGAATCACATTTAATTGTCAGAATAAACGGCATAAAGGCTTGGCTTAAGATCAAAATACTTTTTACAAGTATTTGCATGCACAAAATAAGCGGGCATTACTTTTTAATCTTGTATTTAAAAATATTAATTAAAAAAATTAAAACTTAATGAAAATAAAAAATCGAGCTGAGAAATAAAATTTGTGCTGAATTTGTACGAATTTTTGTACTTTATTTGAGTGTATTATTCTGGGCTATATGTCCCAGTGTAACTCATATACTAAAATGCTTTAAAACAAATAATCAATAATAGATTTTTACTTTTTTAAATTTGGACTCCAGCACATTTCAGCAGCTTTTTGAGAAGCCTGTGCTTGTGCGATAGAGCATCTACGATTCGGCTTGCTGTTCATAGCTTTATTTGCCCGTCTGCTCAGACTATTGCTTGAACCGCAGAACTAATCCATCTTGGCGAGCATTGAACTGACTGACCTACTGTTAGACAGACAATCCAAGCGGGACTTTTTGTGGCAACATGGCAAACGGAGTCGGAGTCGAAGTTGGAGTTGGAGTTAAAGTCGGAGTCGACTTTGGCGTCAGCGTTCGACAGCGGCTGCTGCATAATCAAAAATAATTTCACATACAAACAAGCCCCAAAGCTAACACAGAGCTGTTTGGAGCTGTAGCCGAGGCACCAATATTAATGATAATAATAAGAATAAGTGCGCAGAGCAACCAGCCCCCACCCCTACCCCGCTGCCCGCACCTCACTGCCACTGCCGCAAACAATTGCAGGATATATGTATGCATGTATATGAGATGGCGTGGCACGTTGCAACGATGCGTTGCAGCGCTATGGAAACGGCAGCATTGGCGCACATAAATCTCACTTGGTGTCCGCTAAATTATACACTGCCAGACATTTAGGCTACACTTTTAGCCAAAGCCCGGCTTTGTGGGTTTGAGGGCAGCAGCAAAAACGGCGGCGGCGTCGGCGCAGGCGCATTCGAAGCCCGCTGCTGATCGATCTTTTTAGCTTTGGGACAAAAGTTTAACGCGATTGTTTATGATACAAATTAAACAATTTATGACAATGCAGCAGCAGCAGCAGCAGCCGCAGCAGCAGCCGCAGTCTTGGCCATATGCAAAGTCAGTCTGCGCTAAGGCCGCGAGCGTCCGTGGTCCGAGTGCCTTACTGCCTGCCTCAGCAACAGCAGCAGCGACAGAGGCGGCGGCAGCGGCAGCAGCAACTGTTGCTGGTGTTTCATAAATTATAACGCAGCTTTTCCGCCTTGAAAAAAGGGAACAACGTCATTTATTATGAATTTTTTATCGCTTCTGGTCTCTGTCTTGAGCGCGTTGCCCCTTCCTGCCCTCTCTACCACAGTCACTCTGCCTTTTGATTCTCATCTCGGCTTAGGCTGTTAATCTTCGTTATAAATTTTGGCCATAATTGATTTAATGCTGCATTTAACTTGATTTTTTAGCGCGTTTTATTAAATTCTTATCCTTGTATTTTGCTCTTTTTTCGTTTACTTTTCCTTTAGCATCCCGCATGCCCTCCTCACATGCCTCGTCCCAAGTGTGCAGGCCGCACTTTCATCCGCCGCTCAGTCCCTGGCTGACCAGCGAGCACAAATCGTTTGCACCCGCCAGCGCTTGGGGCATGGGTCAGTTCGCCTGCCCCCAGGAGCCGCAGGTGGAGCACAAACTGGGCCAGGTGGGCCAAAGCCATCAGACGACGGCGGCCGGCCAGCATTCGTTTCCATTCCCACCGACACCGCCAAAGGACTCCACGCCCGACTCAGTACAAACCGGCCCATCCGAGTACCAGGTAAGCCAAGCCCCTGCCCCCCTATCCCTCTCTCTCTCTTTGCTTATCCACTTCAATTTTGCGATTGATACCGTTACAGGCCGTGATGAACGCCTTCATGCATCAGCAGGCCACGGGCTCTACCTCACTGACGGACGCCAGCTGTGCGCTGGACATCAAGCCCTCCATACAGAATGGCGGCGCAGCTGCAGCGCATGCGGCCAGCGCTGGACCGGCGCAATCGTCTGCGCCCAAGCAGCGCGAAGGTAGTACTAACAACAACAACAATAATACAAATAGCTCAAATAGCAGCAGCAACGGCAGCAGCGCCGGCAACCAAGCGCCGCAGCAGCAGCAGCAGCAACAGCAGCAGCAGCAGCAGCAAAGCAACAACAGCAATGCCTCCTCATCCGCCTCCGCCTCAACGTCGAACGGCCTATTCGATGGCACCGCCCAGGCCCACTATGCGGCCAACAATGCCAACAGCTATGACAGCAGCTATGCCTCGTATCATCATGCGGCGGCGCAGCATCAGGCTGCTGTTGCCGCGGCCAACATGTTCCAAAGTTCCTCCGTGGCAGCGGCCGCTGTGCGGCATAGCATGGGTGCCGCAGCGGCGGCGGCGGCGCACCATCATCACCATCACAGTCATAGTCATCATCATGGTGCGTCCGGCTCCGCGTCCGGCAGCGGCATTGCGGGGCTGCACGGCAGCGGCGGTGGCAGCGGCAGCGGCGGCGGCGGCATTGGCATGAGCGGCATGGGCAGCGCCATGAGCAGCGGCGGTCACAGCAGCTCAAGTGGTGGAGGCGCTGGCGGCGTCGGACTCGATGTGAAGCCCGTGCGCACAAAGCCCCGGACCAGTGCTGGTAAGCAAGACAAAAGTTTCAAACACTGTTGCGATATTGGTGTGGGTGATAAATAATTGTTAATTGTTCGATCGATGAACGATAGAAAATATTGTTGATCGATAAACGATTTGCTTAATTATAATTAGATCTGTGTTGTATGCAAACACTTATCGATTTTGGTTTCTAGTTTAGTTTTTGTAGCCTAAGTTCATATGTTTTATTTTCTTTTTGGCTTTTGATTTTCATTTGTTTCACACGCTCGCACACACACACACTCACACACACGTGGGAAGCTCGCTCACTTAACTGCACTTTGTGGCACCACTCTTCAACATTTTCAGCGGCACTTGACATGTGTGTGTGCTTCCTCTCTGCCTCTCCCGCTATCCCTCCCACTCTCCTTCCCTCTCTCTCTCTCTCTCTCTCTCTCTCTCTCTCTTAGCTCTGTCCACATTCCCGCCACTTGGGCATGTTTCCTGCTCCACTCTTAAAATATGTATGCAGTCAGGCAGATTCAGATTTACACACGCCCCCCTGTTGCCCGGCAGTTTTGTAGCATTGCGTATACGCCGCGTGCGCTCACCATGAAATCAGCACAATGGCAACAACAACAACAACGAAGAAGTTGAAGAAGAAATGGCAGCAGCAGCAGAGAGTGAACTGCAGTTGCCGCTGCTGCAAAAACTTCAATGCTATTGTCAACGGTTTAGCTGTGCTGCGCTGCGTCATCAGCTGTTGTTGTTGTTGTTGTTATTTTGTGTTGTAGTTGTTAATTACTTCATGTTGCTGCTGCTACCACACACACACGCACACCAACACACATTGGCATTCGCTGCGGAAGTTTGTCGCTGCACCTGCTTCGCAGTCGCCGTCTCAGCCGGTTTCGCATGTCGCTGCCAGCAACAACAACAACAACAACAACAATAACAAGAACAACAAAAGCAGCAACAACTACAACAATAACGACAACTTTATACCCGCTCGGTAATGCGTGAGAGGTTGCGGGTTGAGGGTCGCTGCGGCAGTTGCAGTTGCAACCCCTCGCAAAGGCAGCCAAGTATTATACGAAGCAACTTACAAGTCGGCTTAACTAACAGCCAGCTGTTAAGTGACAGACTGTTAAAAGAGCGTTACAGAAATGTTTATGTTCAGCTTGCTGTTAAAAGCATTCGCACATTTAACAGTCAAAAGTCAAATGAGGAAGCAAAAAGTTGCCATGTGAACTAAGTATCAAACGTCTTTGTATCTGTATCTCGGCCTTTGTAGCTGAATCTGTATCTGTAGCTGTATCTGCATCTGCATCTTCTGAGCTGTGTGTTGTACGCGATGTAGGAAGCTGCGGGCTGACAAAATGTTTTGCCTGCGCTTCATATTATTTCATTTGCTCGACAGTTTTTTACTTTCTGCTGTTGTTGTTGCTGTTTAACTAACCAAAAAGTTGTCTGCGACATTATTGTTGTGGCTGCGGGCGCGTTCGTTAGCCAAGGATCCGACGTTCCACTGTCCACTGTCCACTGTCCACTGTCCGTCTGTCTCTCTGTCTGTCCGTTTGCTGTTTTTGTATTTATTTATCGTTTATCGCATCGCTTGCGATAAGTTTTTTCGGGGCGCAAGAACATGTGTTGGGTGCTCTTGGCTCTTGTTGCCACTGCCCCCCCAAAAAATCAATGACAGTCGCCAGTCGCGCATTCCCCAAGTCTCAGTCGAGTCCACTGTGCAGTTGGCTCGACTCTGGATTTATGCTTGGCCAGCGCTTGGCCAAATTGATTGGATGCCATTTGGGCTTTTGTCAGGTGAAAATAAAAAATGTTGTGAATGAGCTTTAAGTAATTGATATGGGTACGAGTCCATGGTCAGACCTCTATGGTACGCGCAGCCTTCACTCAATCAGCCATGCTGTCCGTGGGCCTGTGGGTCTGTGCGGCCGCATGTCCATCGGCAGGCGCAGTCGCAGCTACAGCTTAACAGCGGGGATGAGCTTCTTGTGCGCGCGTCCATTGTTCCTTTGTCCCAGCGCCTTGACAGCTGTGGCCTTAAAATGAGGCGCTTGCCGCTTATTTGAGGCATGCGTGGCATGGCCACAGGCGTTAACCGGCAATGCCAGCCAGCGAAGGCCTACGAACTCCCAGTTGAATCGAGCTCTCTCCTGTCCGCTCTCCTGCTCTCCTGTGTAAATTATTCATACTAAGCGCATACATTTTATTCAGCTTCAGCTTGCATTTTATTTTCGATTTTATTGTACTTTAAACGTTATTTTCTTTATGTTTGTGACTTTTTTAAACATTTTCATTTTCATTAAAGTAAAAAGAAAAATATCTATCAAATTCAACAACAACTATTTACTCACACATCCACATGTGTCTTTTGTCTTGTTCACCAGTAAACGTCTCTCTATATATATATATAAATATATATATATTTATATATGTATATATATATATCTATCTCTCTTTTCACTCTCGCTCTGTTGCTGTAACTATCTTTCTATATATCTATGTATCTCTAAGTAACCTTTAACTAGTATAAATGTTTATTAATATCAACAAACAAACAACAACAACAAACAACGGCAACTAATTAAAACTGCAGTTGACCCTTCACATTGGGCCTGCCCACGACTGCGACTAACAAATTAAAGGGAATTTTTCTTCTCCTGAAAAGGTACAAGACATAAATTCTAGACAATTATGGCCACTGACGCCAAATGTCAAATCAAGCAGCGAGCACAGTTAGTTAGACCTTTAAACTCAGACACATGCCCAAGACCTTCTTAATGCCAAATCAGGCCCTAAAAACAGGTTCAACCGATGCTCTCCGGTGTCTCTTGGGCTACGTTTTGGGTTCAGACCCATGGCCAGACAATGTCACACGAACCCGTGGCCGTAAAACCAAAATAAAAAAATTCAACCCAAACCCAAAGAAGAGCACACGAAAACGAAATACCAAAGTGTGCACAAATTTCCAAGAAATTACAACGCAATGCTGTGGATGATTGTGCCCATGTGGATGTGGCTGTGGCTCCGGCTCCGGATTCAACTACGACTGTGGCTGGACCACAAGAGAAACAGTTATAACATGCTACTAAATCATAGGTTAACTGAGAATCTGGCCAACCTGCTACGTGTAGTTGTGTGGAAAATGAAAATGAAAATAAATAAAATTGTGAAAAACTGTCAAAGGCATGGGCGGGGGCATGCTGCAGACAGCAGCCCGGTGACAGGCAAATTGAAATCAAAACAAAGCTGGAAAACAATAACAACAACAAAGAACAAAAAAAAAATTTAATGGCCATAAAAAAACACACACACGGCGAAAGAGCAAGAGCGAACGCGAGTGAAAGAGAGCGGAATACAAGGATCCTCTACAGATCAGCCCCAGAGAATCAAATAAAAATGTACTAAAACAAAAGAGGCCAGCACTGGAGTGAGACAGAGAGGCACATTAAGATCGGGAGTCAGAGCGAGAGAGCGAGAAAGAGAGAGCGAAAGAGAGGCTGTGCGCGTGCGCTGTGTATGCCATATAGAGTTTTGTGGGATTCATATTACGGATACGAATACTTCTCGCAGGGGCTGTAGTTGTCGCCGTCGTTGTTGGCCCTCTTCTGCTGCCTTTGTTGTCAAAAGTGGGCACACTGGGTAAAAACATCATTAACACATTTGATTTATTAACTGGCGAGTGGCTTAGAGCAGCAGCAACAGAGCAACCACAGCGAACTTCATTGGAATTGTGCTAGAACAAAAGCAACAACAACAAAAAGAACAACACAGCAACAGCAGCCACTCACAATGCCACAAAGCCACACTTTATGGCTTAATATGGGCTGAATGTGGCAGCCCAACAAAACACTCGACCTCTATTCGGATTTATAACAGCCAATAAATGCATAAAGTTTTCCGCACTCAACGACTACTGTGCGCGACTGTTGAGCGGGTAAAGGACATTCGACAATAGTCAAATCAGTCGAAATTGAGGTGGAATATTAAATCAAGATGATATCGAATGACAGGCTATGTTGCTTTAGAGCAAATAGTTTAAAAGAACTCCAAATTTTACAATTATGTTTCACAACTTGCCTTAAAAACATCTAACAAGAAAATTGAAATCTAAAATTGGATTGAAACGGATTAATTGAAATTAAGTAACCCAGACTATATATAAATTCTACAGCTATTGAGAAATCAAGTTGATATTAAGGAAACCACAAGATATAAATATGTACATATTATATAGTTCGAGCTATCCGAACTAATACATATGTTCGTAAAGGCGAATTCGATGCAAGCTATAGAAAGGCTAACAAAATGAATTTCCCAACAAGATATAAGAATCAAGTATCTGGAACTATGACATTTGCTTTAATTAGATATATAATATCAAGAAGATATACCCAGAAAACCTGATGTGTTTGTGAAAAGTAATATAGGATTGATAAACTGCGATAATGAGAAACAACAAACAAAAAAAACCCTTTTCCAGTGCAAAATTTGTGCAAATTAAGTGCTCAACCAGCTATAAGAGTTCCATAGTACACGATCTGCAACTTTAGCAACTTAATAAAAGTTGTCACAACGAATATTGAAAGTTATTTGTAGAACGTTAAAAAAAAAAAAAAAAAAAAAATTAAAAACAAAGTCAAGTCAAACAAATAACTGTTAACGATTTCAGTGGCTTTCAAATAATTTATGCAATTTTTATACAGTGGGTGTTACTTTTTTGATTGGCGGCAATTTGGCTTGGGGCCTTTGTTACGCAGTCCCCCCTGCCGCGCCTCACCGAAAAAAGAAAAACTGAAACTGTAAAGCAAATAACGCCCAGCGCCAAATGTGCGGCAATTAAAAAAGTCGTACAAAAAACAGCAAGAAAAGAAAGAAACAAAAAAGAAAACGAAACGAAACGCACAAACATATCAAGTACACGCGCTAAAAAAAGATAAATATATATACAGATATAAATATATATACACATATCTAAAAAAAAAAAGCAAGGTAAAGTTGCGATTAAATGAAAACAAATGAACTGTTTATTTAACGCGCCCCTGGCGAGTGCGTGGGCGGGGTGGCTCCGGGTGGTGCTGGGCTCAGCTTTAGTGTGGACAATGCGGCTGTCGGGCTGTCGCGAGGGGGGGGGATACGAAACACGCAGAACGTTTAATTTAATTTCTTTGAAAGCTCAAAAACAAAATGCTTGGCATGCCAGCTGGACACAGGACACACGTGTGATTGTCCTGCTGCGCAGCCAGACGCTGGTAGGAGTGAGGCCCAGGGCTTGAGCATTCTTTCTAGCAGTCGAAGCGCGTATAAACAGCAGCAAATCACGTAAGGCTCTTAAAAAGCCGAAACAGAAAAACTGTCATCAAAATGTTTCTAATGGCATTTGGGCAGGCAACGAGTTGACAACGCACTTAATGAGCCGCCACTAGCCACTGGGTGTGACCAGCTAATATTCAATAAAAAACCAGCATGGCAAAAGGCATGAAAGTTATGCCTATGCGAGCATGTAAAGCGCAAACGTTAATTAATTACAATGCACCAAAAATATGTTAGCCCAATTTGGCCTAATTATTTTTGGTGGGTAGCGTTAGATCTCTTTTAGCCAGAATGCGCCGCAAGTTTTCCTCTTTGGTTTTTTTATGACTAAATTTTAATATGAAGCGAACGAGCAAACAAACAAACCAACAAACGGACAGACAAACGATATAATGAAGCCCATTTAGTGGCGTCATTAAATGCGAGAGCAGAATATGCCATACAAAGACAAAGGCAACTGTAATATGCGAACGTTAATAACGCGTTACATTTGCAACTTCATTTTCAAAGCCAAGCCAAGTCAAGTCAAGTCGCTTACAAATTATGCCTAAAGTTATTCAAATGAGTTGCGTTTGCCGCGAAACAGTTAGTGCCAGGGCAGGGGCTAGTCGGGGCCGATTGCAGCCACTAGAACCGGCCGCTGCTTAATTAAAATGTGTGGAGTCAGCAAGGAAAGCAGCGCTGCAGCGCCCAGTGCCAGCGAATCCATCATTTCCGCTTCCATGCGTTTTATGCCAACGAAAAAGAAAAGAAAAAAAACAACAACAAAGAGCAGAAACAAAAAAATATAAACTAAGAGCAAAAAACAAGACTGAGAAACAGCTGAAAAATGTGTGCCGCAGCGAGTTGTTGTTGCCGCAGATACTTTGTATTGTTGTTGCTGTTGTTGTTGTTGTTGTTGTTGTTGTTGCCCAACAAGCTGCCTGCTGACTGCACTGCAGACTAAACTCTAATTTAAGCGAAATTTAAGCACATATTATATTTGAGTTTTAACAAACATTGTTTTTTTGTATATTTACAGAGGGTCGCGAGTGTGTGAACTGTGGCGCTACCTCCACGCCGCTGTGGCGACGCGATGGCACTGGACATTATCTGTGCAATGCCTGTGGCCTCTACTATAAAATGAACGGACAGAATCGACCGCTGATCAAGCCAAAGCGAAGACTGGTAAGTTGCAGCAAAATGTGTAAATGCTAGTTTAATACAGCCTCCCCTTGTCCAACCGCACCCACTGAACCACCCGCTGCGTGCAGCTTCCACACATTGCCACAAATTGATCAATAAATTTATGAACTGTATTCCTGGGAATTCGCTGGCGCATCAATCTCAGCGCACGTTTCTGTCGCCAAAAGCCATAAAAAGCAGCGTGAAAGTTCTCAAATGTCATAATAATTCCAGGAACATAACGCAGCACACTCTGACACACACACACACACATGCGTATATGCATTTAATTATCATTTTTCTGACTAGCTGGCGTCTTGATTGCAGAGCTGAGTGAACGCTTTGGCTGATAACAATCAAGGCGCATCATCATTATCACTTAACGCACTAAAAACATAATCAGGCAGCAGCCAGTTGTTTGTGTGGGTTATTGGAGATGCCACAAAACAACTTCTACTCTCCCTCTCTCTCTCTCTCTCTCTCTCTCTCTCTATCTCTCTCTTTGTCTCTGTCTGTGTCGCTGGCCGAGGCACATTATCGTTTTTTATCGGACGCACGCATCAACAGCAACAAACTATGAAAATATATGTAACGCTGTCCGTCCGAAGGTCTGCCCTGGCGCCAACTACATCAGCAGCAACAGCAGCAGCAGCAGGAACAGCAAACGAAAGACTTAAGCAACGAACTCACACGCTGTCACTGCGTGTGAAAGAGAAAGCAAGACGGCTTACTGCGCTGGGCCTATACAAAATTAGTCCATTAAACATGCGTAAAAACAAAATAAGCAGCAACAACAACAACAACAACAACAAACAACTGTTAACTGCAGTTGGGTTTGTGTCTCGGCTCGTAGCTGTTCGCGTTGATTTTTTATTGGCATTTAAATCGTATGCATTTTGATTGCATAACATTAACATAAATAAACCATTATTGGATGAAAAAAAAAAAAATACAACAAAAACAAACAAATCAAATAAGAAGAAAAAGAAGAAGCAGCAGCACATACTACTGACGTGGCAGCGCGGGCAAACGCAGGGAATTCCCAAGAAATTCACAGCTGGAGGCGAACGCAGCGTTTGTCTGTTTGTGGTTGAACGAAGTGTTTGTTGATTTCTCGTTGACAAAATATGCAACAAATTAAAATTTATATGCCCTAACGCTGGACTTATGGCAGCGACTGGTGTATGCAAGCCGGCCGAGCTGCCCAATGCCACAGGATGCTGCCCATCAATGTCCTTTTTGAAGGGCCGGCCACATCGCCTGCGGCTGAAATGCAATTCAATTGTTTTGCCAACAATATTGACTGGAGACTCGCTTTCAATTCGCGCTGGGTGGCAATTGTATTGATTTCGCAAGAGGGTCAAGACTGTGTTGACTGCTCTGCCTCTGCGTTTTGCATACAACGCGGGCCACTGGCCAATGGTATCTGCAACTGCAACTGCACCTGCCCCACTGCGACTGCGACGGCAACTGCGACGGCGACTGCGACTGCGGCTTGCGCATCTCATTGTCTGCTCGGCCGCCTTTAATTAAATTTCCGAATTGTATGAAAACAGTCAACAAGTCGTAACTTTGAGCAGCACAAAAATTGTGCTTTGTTGTTGCTGTTCTTGCTGAAACAGAACAATGCAAATTTTTAATTTATGTATTTTAGCCCGCAAACCAAGCAGCAGCAGCAGCAGCAACAACAACAACGATTCAGTCGCCTTCGCTTACATATGTTTAGCAGTTGTTGTTGCTCTTTTTCATTGTTGTTTCTTATTTTTTGGCTGCCCGCTTGGCCCGCTGGCGTTTCAATAATTGCATTTAATTATAAGGCCACAAATGTTTTGTGCGCCACTCGCTGCCGCAGGCTCTGTGGCAAGTCCAGGCCAAGCCCCAATTGGCTAGCCAACCTTCAGTATGGATTTGTCACATACGTAGCTGGCTTTAAGGCTATTCTGACTATGGCTAATTGCAAATGCATGTTAAATGCTTAGGAACACAGTTGTTAAGGTCAGCAACTGCCGGGCGCATCTCAGCGAACAGCAGCAACAACAACGCAATCGTGACTTATATAAATATAAATATAAACGACATGTGTTAGTCAAGCCCCTGAGGGGCTGGCGGAGGAGGCCCAGGGTTGTGGGCACGGGCGTTGCTTGCATTTTGCATAATATTTATGCCGCAGTCGGTTTTTCGTTGTTGTTGTTTTGTTGTTATTTTTAATTTATGCGAGTTTTCACACAATAAATTGAACAAAACGTTGGCTGTTGTTCTTGCTATTGTTGTTGTCGTTGGCGTTGTTGCTGTTCATTCGTATATATATAAATTGTTGTTAAGCGCTGCAAAATTATTTATTTTTATGCTTATTACGTTGCCTTATATCATTTGAATGCAAAGACTACAACTTGCAATTGCCATTTGAAGCTTTGTGGCTGCAGTTGTTGCTGTTTTTGTTTTTGTTGTTGTTGTTTTTGTTGCTGTTTGCCGACGCTGTAACAATAAACCCATCAACACTTGACACAATCATTTATAAATGTATTATTTAAGTGCCCGCAAAGCTGCTTAATTAATTACTTATCAAAGGCGTATTTCAACGCCAAAAACAACAACAACAACACTTTACATTAGCCGCCATTTAACGGGCATTAAATACATCAATTTCAATTTGGAATGCCCTAACTTAGTCATAGATTTATTTGAAAAAACTAAACACATAAAAAGGCAGGCATTTATTTAATATGCTGACAGTTAAAATATGCGGCCCCTCATAAAAGCTTGTCTTAGGCAGCCCGCCCGCAGCAGCCGAAATATTTGAATAAAAAAAGCTCTATAGAAATTAACTTGTAAATAAAATATATTATTATAGAAGGAAAAAATTTGGAAAATTTTAGAATCCCAGGAGTTTTATAAGCGAAAAACAGGGTCAGCCATATAAGTCAAGTTGTCTTAGTTGGTTATTGTCTGGATAAAATTGTTTTTAAATAAAAGCTGATTTCAACCAAAAAAATCTGTAAAATCAGGTACTGCAAAATATACTAAAAATTCAATTTTCGGCCTTGCAAATCGGCATCAAAAATTTTGCAGAATTATCATAAAGAGTTTCAAATAGTTTTTATTTAATAGAACTTGTTAGGCAGAGCAACCGAGCATCGGTGTGTTGCCATAGAAAGTACGTGTTTTGTGTTCAGATCGGTGTTTCAAATGTTAGGCACCCCACTGTGCCACAACGACGACAACAACAACAACAACAGCAACAACAACATCAACTAGCTGAGCCAGAATCATCAATAAAATTAACTGGCGTCAAGTGATTGACAAACGCTGACTCGACAGTTTTGCTTGTTTTTGTTGTAGTCGGGGGAGTATGGGGTAGCTTGTGTGCTATGCTTATCAAAAGCTCAGAAAAGAAAACAAAAACCAGCCGAAATTCTAATTAACACATTTTCGCTGAGCGTGTTTTGTGTGTGCGCCATATGTGCGATAGACGCTCGAAGCAAGAACTGGATCGAATTGAATTGGCAGCCCTTTGGCGTGGGAATTTCGCGCATAACGCGAATTAAAAAAGCCAAGCGAAGAGCAACAATAAACGGGGCAACAATTCTGGAGGCAGTTACGCCAAAAATTAAATGCAAGGCGCAGACGCTTCACGTATAAATCAAGTTACCAAAATGCGCGCCAAATGAAAGTCAAAGTCAAAGCGATCGATAAAACTACAACAGCAACAACAACAACAACAACAAGAATAACAGAGGCAGCAGCAGTAAAACGTATCAAAACTAAAGCAAAAGGCAAAAACGGCAACAACATTAACAACATCAACAACTGAGCCAAACTAAAAGTTCAATGCACGTTCGGCAAACGGGGCGTATACGCAATCGAGCGCATTAAGTCGCCCGGACATTTTCGCTGTGCCTCGGCCAGAGGCCAGAGCAATATGTTCACTTGTTATACTCTTTTTTTTTTTTTATTTTGTGGGGCGCTAGGATCTTGTTAAGAGTGCGCTCATTTCATCAAGTGGGCAGCCTAATGCCATTAAAATGCACTTGAACCGGCCAGCAAGAGGCTAAGGGGCGAGGCTGAGGTTGAGGCTGGAAACGAGCAGCGGGCTACATATGTCCTGCTGTTGCTGCTGTTGCTGCTGCTGCTGCTTGGGGCACAAGCTGACGAACTGCAACATTGTGCCGCAGAGCAGATCAATTAAAAATTAACGATATGAAGCGCAGCCGCAGCCGCAAAACTGGGCGTGCCAATAATATAATGAAACAGGCTCACACAAGCCACAAACAGCGAGCAACAGCAGAGAGAGAGAGAGAGAGAGAGAGAGAGAGAGAGAGAAAGTGAGACAGCGATATAGTGTGTGTGCGAGCTCGGAGTCTGTGCGCGGGTCGCAGATGATTAAGGCCTATATTCCGCCGCTCGTTAGGACGACCCTGGCCACAGCTTTTAGGCAAACGAACGGGTTGAAAATAAATATAAAACAAAAAAGAAAAATAAATAAATAAAAATAACATAAATCTATTTAATATGCAAAGGCATAATTTGCACTGGGCCCGAAAAGCTAAGCTGCGCCCCGAAAGGGTTGCATTTTCTAACCCTTTTATTTTCGCTCAGACAATATATGAAAATGTGGTCAGGCACGCAGCCCCACAGTCCGAAATGCTGTAAAAAGCGCGTGTTTAGAGCACATTCATTTTGGTAACAGCAGCTGGCCAAAAGGGGACCAGGTTCTATTTAATTTATATGTGCAGTTGCAATGTCCAGTGACAAATATTAATGACGATTTTCATGCCTTCACAAATCGCGGCCATGGCTGGAGGAGCGGGGGCCCCATTTTTGCCTAGACTTGACCATGTTGCTGTCACTGTAGTCGTTATTGTTGTTGTTGCTGCTGTTTAAAATGCACAAGACTGAAACCTTTTGGGCGCTGTCTGCGACAAATTTCCATGCGACGACAAGTTGTGGCCAGCACAACAACAGCTCCAAAAGGCTCGTAAAATTCATTGAGCACCATTAATGAGCGACATTAATAGCTTGTCGTAGCTGAAGTTGTTGTCGTTGTTGCTATACCTGTTCAGTAAAAACATTTTATTGATTTTTCTAGCCAAGCAGCAGGTGTGATTTTTAGCAATAGTTTTTCGCTTTCTTTGTGCGTGCCTGCAAATGAGCCAAGCTGATGTATTAATTAGGCAAATGTGTCTAAAAAGAATACAAAAAAAAAAAAACACGAAGCCAATCAACGAGCTGTGCTAGCAACCCTTGAAATAAATATCGAAAATAAAAACCAACACAAAATTCCAAAGCAACAGCCTGCCCTGCCACGCCCGAAAGCTGCTAACAGCATGTGGCTGTGCTCAACGAATCCGTTTGGCAAAAAGGAAATGAGCCCAGGATATAAAAAAAGAAAAGCAAAAAAGCAGAAAAATAGGGTATACACGAGCCTAGTCCATTTTATGCTGCCGCAAACGAAATTTGAATTTTTAAATTAAATTTCACAGTCGCACAAGTTTTATTTCTGTTACAAACACTGCACAACATGATCAAAAAAAATATATATGTAGCTAAATATATATATATATATATATATATATATATATATATATGTAAATATGTGTAACTGTTATGGCCCGGACATTTTGTTGGCGCTTGCCTCGATGCCTCGGCTTTTCATTTCATTTCGTTGCGCTGGCAGCCACCCAAAAAAAAGGTCCCCCACTCAACCGCCCAACCACCAACTGACAGTTACCCAAGTCAAAGTCAGCATCAGATATAGAAATTTTCGTTGCGCTGCTGCCTGAGATCTGGGCGCTATCTTTTGCCATCTTCTCTTTGTGTGTGTGTGTGTGTGTGTGTGTGTCTTGTGGGGGCTGCTCCAAAACAACCCCCAAAGGGCAATTCAGTGCTGAGGGTTGGCAACTGCAAACGACTTTTTGCGCTGGCTGCGAACAATTTAATGAATGTTTTGTCAGATAAAGCAGAGAAAAAAAAAATAAAATAAAGCAGAAAAAAATGAGCTGATAAAATGTCTGCGCTGTGTGGGCAGTGGGGTAACACACACAGCCACAAAAACAGCTACAGATACAGATACAGCTACATAACACGCACACATATATAGATACAGATACAGCTACAGATACAGCTACAGATACAGATACAGTGCACATACTTATACACACACCCAGCCTGAGTGTGCCCCCAAGTAAAAGATGTAACACTGAGATAAACGTAACATTTGCTGGGCAACCGGCTGGGGCTGCTGTTGCTGCTGCTGCTGTTGCCTCCACCTCCACACTTCGTTCTCTGTCACTCTTTGCCTCTCTCTCTGTTTCTCCCTCTGTTCAGCTGCCCCAACCAACTCCCCCCGCCAGCACCTCCTTGGCCTGCGTCTTTGGTGCGATATCTAAGATGGCAAAGGGCATTGCCATCCCCAGCGCACAAAAGCTGCGCAATAAATAGAACTGTAGCTCTGCTGTCTGACCCAGCACCTCTTGACTACGCTGTCGCACCCTGCCCCCTCGCTATATACTATACAAATATATATATATATATTCTTACAACAAAAGCATTTACTTTTGTCGGCAACGCTTTTCATTTGCTTACACAATTTTCGTGGCACATTTTGTTATTGCGTTTGTTTTTCCAATTTCAATTAAATATTCAAATGCGTCTTTGTGTAAATAAAAGCATAATTTGCATACATTTTATAAACAATTCAAAAATGAACAATTAAAATTCAAAACCCAAAAGTAAATAGCAACAATTCAAACAGCCGCCATTTTGTGAACTGCAGACATTTTGTTGCGCTGCTGCAACTCATATAAATCAATGCAAGGTGGCAACAATAAAGCAAACAAAAATAAAAAAATGTGGAATTCATCATTGGCATGTCGAAGATGAAATACTCTTGCACAAATGATGAATGCACTAAATAGTTTCTTAGACAGCATTTGATAAAGTACTTCGATGTGTGAAGTAGCAATTGTTGATTTGCTGAAAAATAAAACTATTTGTCTACATTTTGCGCAGCTTCCAATAAAACTTTTGTTTGATTAGCTCCACCAAACTTGATTTAGGGTTAATATATGTTTTGCAGGAAGACGCCTGAAACAATTTCCCTTAGCTGCATATCTTCCGGTCTCATTAAATAAATAAAAGCTTAAGAATTCCAAATTTTCTTGTGACCATTTGCTGCGATAGATATATTGAAAAACTAAAAGCTGCTGTTCAAACAATTTCTTTTTCCACGTTTCAAGGCAGCTTTGTAGTCAGAGATTTTGTTAAGTATAGTATAGTTAAGTATAATGCTCAAGAATTCTTAAAAAATAAAAAAGATTTTAAATAAAAACTTACCTGTTCCGGCTTTAATAGATATATGATATATTCGTCCGATGATATTGAAGTTTTAATTGTAATTTATGAGTTTCTTTAAAATATCGCAAGATATAAAAAACTGTTTCGTCAATTAAACACATGTTTTTATTTGTTTTATTTCTGCCTGTGGAAGAGAAACAAATTATGTTTAATAAGTTTCATCAGAAAAGTTTCAAAACTAAGGGACTAATATTGAATCGTCTGTGATTTTGCTGATCAATTTATTTATATATATACAGTTGGTTTATTTTATTCGACTGAGATTTTTGTAAATATAGCCATTAATTAAGTTTATTTAACTTATAAAATTGTCATACCCTCGGTTAGGGTATGCAGGGGCATTTTGTCATGCTTAAGCGCATTGAGAAATTAAAATTTATGGATTCAAGACAATATATACGTGCATATAACTATATACATATGTATATATGGATATATATGAGAATTTGCTGTATTGTCTTCTGCTTTTGTATAATATTATTTATCGCAAGCGCCATCTTGTATACGGCTTGCTGTTATTGCTGTTGTTGTTTGAGTGTTGGCGCTTGCGCTTTTTGCATTTCAATTAAAATGCGCCCCTTTGACAATGTTTGACAGTTTGTCAATACGATGCTGCCGCCCCAAGCGACCTGCCCCGCAACAGCCAGAATCCGCCCGGCTTGACATTGATTTATGTGCCACATTTTGTGGCACTGTTAGCTAAACACAGCGCCTGCTTAAACAGTCCCAAATAAACATGCTGCAATTTAGCACCTACAACTGACTGCGACCAGTTTGGCCTGGTTAGGGATTACGAATTGAGACTTGCAACATTTTGTGGCATTCGCCTGCTTAGTGCGTTTTGTTGCAGTGTCATGTTAACAACTTAATTTATATATATATATATAAAGTCGCTTTGGCCTGGCCAGATAATTACCTGGAGCTGTTGGTGGAGCCAGCATTTGTAGGCGTTGCAAATGGATTTTGAATTCTCGCACATTTCGATTTCGATTTGGCCGCAAGTCGCAGCTGTCTGTATGTGAAATTGTTACAAGCTCGTTAACACACAACAACAGTGCCACCAAAAAATATGCAGACACTGTTGCAGAGCGACTGCGACAACGGACTCCAACTCCGAGTCCGACTGCAGTTGGGATGGGGAGAGTCTTGTGGCATGACCTCTGATTTATGTTAATGGCAGCGTGGCAGCAAGGCGAAACCAGAACAGGTGAGCCACAAGCAGAGCGCAGAGGCAGGAGGCAACAATTAAAAATCAAAGTCAAACATGATCAACGCCAGTTTAGGGCCGCGTTGCAATGTGTTTGCGTTGTTCTTGTTGTTGTTCTTATTGTTGTTGTCGTAGTTGTTGTTGCTGTACGAGCAACATGAACATAAGCCAAAAGCTGAAGCTGTAGCTGTGGATGTAGCTGCAGAGCCCAGATGCGAGGCCACAAGACGACTTTGGGGCCTGCTGCCTGCTGCCTGCTGCCTGGTTCTGAGTTCTCGATTCTCGATTCTGGCTCTTCGCTGCGGCGACGAGGCACAGCAGACAATGTTTTGGGTCTCGAGTTTGGGGCTACGGTTCTTGTAGCCAATTCGTGGAAATTTAAGCGTGGCGCAGACATGCTCCCCAGTTGTTGCTGTTGTTGTTGTTATTGTTGTTGTTGCTGCTGTTGTTTTTGGGCAGTTTTGTAAAAATTGTCATTTTAATGAATTGATGCTGCTGTTAAAGGCCCCAACTTGGAGTCCACATGCCATTTAAAAAATGTTGTTGCCTGGTGTGTCGAGCAACTTTGTTTGCCATCCAGAGAACAGGACCTGAACAGACCACTAAGCACATACCTGTTTATGTGTGTGCGTGTGTGTATGTGTGTATGTGGGTGTGTGTGTGTGTATAGCTGCGTTAGTTTTGGCACCGTTCAATTAGCGTGACCAGCATATTTGTGGGCGTGTGACATAAGCAGAATCAATTTTCATGACTCAGGCTGCTGATGGGCAACAAGAATTGCTCAATGTAATTGAAAACTGCTCCAGAAAAATTCCTCTAAGCCCCACTGTCATGCACTAATTAACACTCCGCAAACCCCAACATATATTTTCTTTGGCATACTTAAAAATACATGTCAATTGAGAACCTGGCAGCTGTCCAGAATGTAGAAAAACAAATCGATTTTGAGACACTTAGCATACCCAAAGACAATAAGAGCAAGATACGTACTAGTTAGTATGCGGATTTTCGTATAGAATAAAATTCTTTATACACCCGCTCAGCATTCCCACCACTATTGAAGAAAAATCTCATGCAGAGACAAGCGCTTCGATATATGAACACTTCTCTAAGCCATATTTAAGACTTCCGAATTTCATACAAATCAGACTATAAGCACCGAAGTTAGAGCAGCTTGGTGCTACTTAGGTTCAGGGCATCACCTAGTCGGGCACTTCCCACAAGAGCACTCTCTTGAAACTCCAATAAAACGTCGGGTTCCTCAACTTATTTTAGTTATTCAATTATTTTGTTAAAGCTCGACTGCTGGCTGATTGCACAATAATAAAAGATGGGAGAAAACGGCGACTGCAGTCAAGCGCATAACCAATCTAACCAAGCTAAACTAATCAAATTCTAATTTTTTCCTTCTTTTTACAGACACTACAGTCGCTGCAGAGCGCGGCCAAGCGGGCGGGCACATCCTGCGCCAATTGCAAGACCACAACCACAACCCTTTGGCGGCGCAATGCCAGCGGCGAGCCTGTGTGCAACGCCTGCGGATTGTACTACAAGCTGCACAATGTAAGTAAAAAGTCAAATAGCTATAGTTAAGTCCTGTATATATATCTATGTGTATGTGTATAGCTGTCTATAAATCAGAGGTTGGCCCAGCGGGCCATCGATTTGTGATTTGCGATCAGTTTGGCTTCGCTTTTAACCCTCGTTAAGCGCTTAAGCGATTTAACGCAACATTTAACAGCCGCTCGGGCCACTCAAGCGTTCTCCAGCGGAAGCAGCGCACGGGAAACACACACAGATTAAAAGTGACAAAAATGAAGTGTACCACACACCCAACGCCCCCTTTTTGTAAGACGCCCCGAGAGGGTGGCAGGTTGCAGCAGCAGCAGGACTAGCAGCAGCAACAGTGGCAGCAGCAACAACCCCGATGATGAATTGTTGATGATTATTTAAAGATGCCCGTCGTGGTTGTTGCTCGTGTTGCTTGTGTTGTTGTTGCTGTTGCTGTTGCAAGATAAGCGTCTGGTGTTTGGCTGTGAAAATGCGATAAGCTTTGATTTTATTATGGCTAACGCGTGCGCCGGCAAACGGCGACGGCAACCGGCGACGAGCGCCCAGAAATTGGCGTAATTTATGTAATAGACTACGGCTCACTGAGTTGACTACCCCTCTGTGCGCCCCCCTTAAAATGCAGCCAATGATATAGACGCTGTCGAGCCATGTGGAAACGAGATTTAATAACATTTTCGCGCCCTGAGGGGCTAGCCGACGTCCCTGTTGTCCCCCACGCTTTAGAGGGTTGTTTTGACCAACTTCTGGCTTATTAAATATTCATTAGCCACGACGGCACATAAACGTTAGCGCTTAGGATATGCGATACCCTGTAAAAATAAACTGGCTAGATAGGGTATTATAGGCGCTTTAGTTTGTGGCTGGCAAAAAGGGCGCCTATAAAAGTAATACTTCTGAGCTAAGAAATTTATCTAAAGGTTGTGCTTTACATTTTATATGATTAAAAACTATATAGAGCGAGTCTCTCAAAACAGAGACAATCTATTGCTGCCTTAAATATAAATATAATTATATTTTAAATAGATTTTATATTCTAAGAGGTGTCGTACTTCTGGGAAGTCATCTTCTGGTTTTTATAGGTATGGTATATTTTCGAGATTTATGAAAGCAATAAGCAGATCTTTGTTTTTAGGTGTAATTCAATAGCATGGCAATTCTTCTGCTATAGTTCTGGCTATGAAAAGTTTATGTTCGTTATGGATTACCTAGGAATCATATAAATATGCTTTAAGAACAGCTAGAACTCTCTAACATATATATTCTAAGCTCATAATATAAGCATATAAGATCTTAGAAAGTTATAAATTTCTATAGAAGCTTTGAAATGGATAACTCTTCTATAACCAGAAATACTCTACTGTTTCAAGTTACTAAAAGGATCCGTAAGAAAAAGTAGAGCTATGATAGAGTATGTAGTCAGTTGTGTCAGTTGCTAGTATCAAACTTATTAAAAATTAGGTAATATTATATAATAAAAAAATTAATATGAATCTGTAGTTACAGGGCATTGCCTAGTCAGACTCGCAACATTAGACACCGCTGCTTTGTTTTTGATTTCTTTCTTGTTTTTATTTTTTCTATTTTTTTATTTTATACTCTTGCTTTTTGTAATGCCCGCCAGTGAGCTTTTAATGAGTTTCAGTGAATGTGGCAAAACTTTGAGAGAAATCACTTGAACTTTTAGCACATTTACATGTCAGTGTGGGCCGCCCAAAATTGATGGGCCACCTGTGTGACCGCAAGCTAATTAATTTTGCGGTGGAGGCCATTTTATTTGTGTGGCAGCTGCAACTGTTGAAACTGCAGTTCGATTTCGATGGCAATCGGCAATTGGCGACGGCGAAATGTGTTAATTGCGCGAAGTCGGAGTGGGGCACATATATATATATATATATATCAAAGCAAGTGCAGCACAAGCCATATACATTGTGCATATATGCTCCATATAAATCTAATCTGATGTGTAGGCATGTTAACACTAAAAGCGGCGGCCGCTTGCAACGTGGCGTATGAGCAATGCGCCAAAAAGGAAAAATATATAGAAATGTGCACGCTTTGGGTGGCGCGCGAGCGTGTATGTGTGCGTGTGAGCGTGCGTGTGTGTGTGTGCGTGTGTGTGTGTTTGCCAGCTAATGGCCTACACACAAACATACACACATGAGCCTGTGCATTCATAGCGGCGAAATTTATTTTGCAAAAATTTTCTTTCAATTGGACAGTGTCCCATCTTGATAAGATGCCAATCAGCGCGCTTTTTGCATTGCTCAGTGTTCAGTGCTATAGTTGTTGTTGTTGTTGTTGTTGTTCGTGTTGTTGTTGCTGCCTAGCTCTAGCAGTTCATTTCAATTCAATTCGTTTGTCATTTGGCCGCCATCGTCGACGTCGTCAGCCTGTGTGGGCCTCTTGGCTGAGCGATCTGGCCATGTGATTGGCACATTTTATGGAAATGTGGACTGCATTTAGTGCAACTCACCCCTCTCACTCTCTCTGCCTCTCTGCGTGATTGTCGTTGCGCGTGTCTTCACGCTGTTCGCTGGAAAAGTGCGCTAATTAAGACCAAAAATCAGACACTTGCCGTCGCCCAAGCACGCGTCCTGTTGCACAGCCTGTTTAACTGTTTATCAGCTCCTGCTGCGCGCTTGCTGTTGAATATCCTGTTGTGTCACAGCTGCAGCTGCAACAGCTAACTGTGGCAGTATTAGAGACATGCGCCTGGCGCCGTCTCAGCCAATTTGCCAAGAACAGGCAACAGCTCTGTGCGACTCGCCCCTTTTGACATGCAGCCCACCCACTTGGCTGCCTTTGGCAGCCTGTCAGATTGCAAGTGAGCTGCAGCGGCGCGTGTTGCCCCCATGTTGCATGCCCCAAACGCAAAACGCTCGCTCGCACGCTCGATTAAGATTTTATGCATAAAAATCAGCGCTGCGCTGCGACTGGAGTTTCTGCTGAATTCCTTAATGAGCTAGGCCTGTGCGCCCCAGCGCATTAACAACTTTATGCTTTGTTTAGTCGCCGCGGCTGCCACTGCTGCTGCGACTGCTGCTGCTGCTGCTGCATATCAATTAAAGCTTTTGAGCAGCTGCTGCTGAGCTGCTAATTGCCACAATTTGCGCTAAACGCTAGGGAGGCGGCGAAGACCAGAGAGACTATCAATTACCGATCGTCCAATTCAGCAACAGCATCCCTCGCCCCTACCCGCCTCCCTAAAGCCATCCCTCTGTGTGCCCACTGTAACTGATACATTTTGCTCTTGTTTGCCGTTGTTTTCGCTGCATTACACAATTCAACCCTCCGCCTCTAAAAATCTTTCGTCAAGCGGCTCACACAAACAATTGCCCGGCAATTTAACAATTTCGGGGCAACAAGCAACAGCAACAACAACAGAAAAAGGGCCACAAACAATGTCGTAATTCACGCCCAGGTAGTCCCGGACTGCACACTCCACTCTCCATTAAGTGCAACTACTGCTTATATATATATATATATATATATATATATATATATATATATATATATACGTTTTTATTTAGAGAAAATGTAACTTTTCTTTGTCGTCAACGCAGCCTCGGCGAATGGGTAACTCAATATTGTAATTGTAGCGCAATGAGGCGCTGTTGTTGCCGCTTAGATGTTCGCAAGTGATAGGAAATTGCATATGAAGCGGCAGGCAGGCAGCCTCAACAATGGACTCATACACACAACAACAAAAAAGCACTAAAGAGAGCGAAAAAAACAGGGTATAAAAAGTAGCTTCGTTTGCCGCTCGCCCCTCTGGCAGCGCGACGTTTGCTATCAGCGCCAACTAATCGCATTCGCAAATGTCGCTTATCTGATCGTGTAGAAATGCTTGTAATACTTCATTTTCACTTCCCGGTTCCCGACTGCTGCTCCTGCTGCTGCTGCCGCACAGTTTTGTGCCGCACAGTGCGTTGCAACAGACAGCGTGTGCAGTTAGCGGCATTTCCGGCCAAAAAGGGCCGCGCCATGAATTTGCATAAATTTGACCCATTTTAGTTGCCGCTGGGCAGCCGCAGCCGCAGCAGCAGACACAGTTTCTTGATTTTTTTTTTGCCGCCTATTTGCAACACACCCACTAAACAGCTGCCTCATTTGTGTTTGTTCCTCTTGTTGCAGGTCAATCGTCCACTTACCATGAAAAAGGAGGGCATACAAACGCGTAATCGCAAACTCAGCTCCAAGTCAAAGAAGAAGAAGGGCCTAGGCGGCGGCTGTCTGCCAATTGGCGGACATCTGGGCATGGGCGATTTCAAGCCGCTTGATCCGTCCAAGGGCTTTGGCAGCGGCTTCTCGGCCTCCATGGGTAAGCAACAATGAGCCAGCGTGTCCAATGCCATGCTAAACATATATCGCCTTTTGTTTCCATTCCAGCGCAACATGGACACCTTTCCAGCGGGCTGCATCCGGCACATGCGCATATGCATGGCAGCTGGTATACCGGCGGCATGGGCGCATTGGGCGCCTCCGGTGGACTCCAGGGTGGCTTCTCCACGGCCGGTTCACTGGGCGGCGGCGTTGTGCCGCACTCTCAGCCCTATCACTTGGGTCTCAGCTCAATGGTGAGTATAAGAGACGAGTTGTATAAGAGCAAGACAGCGAGAGAAAGAGAGAGAGAGATAGAGAGTGAGAGAGAAAAAGAGAGAGAGCGAGAGCGTGGCGCAATGTTTATTAATGACTCCATTTTGGGTGCTTCCCCACTCTTCCCCTCTCTACAATTGCAGGGCACTTGGCGCACTGACTACACGTGATGGAGCGGGAACAATTTGAACAACAACTTGTTCAGCTAGAGCAGCGCCGATTTGTAAACTGACTTGATTTCCAAACAAACACAATGCCAAACTGAGGACTCTCCCTTCGCAGCCACTTGACCAGAGCACAAGCAACAGCAGCAGCAGCAGGAGCAGAAGCAGCGCGTCAGAACCTACAAGCAGGCAGGAGCCACATCCGTAGATCTCCTAGCTTATCTTTGCGGGAAGTGCCGGCGGTGCTGCTGCTCGCTGGTCAAGTGCTGGCTATTCCTAATTGTAAACATTGCGTGCAATTTTTAATTATTTAAGTTTTCGTCGTTGTCGGCCAGCAGCTAAAACAAAGCCCATTAAAATTAATTAAAGGGCCGCACATATTATTTTTATTGCGCTCGTTTGTGTGTGTATGTGTGTGTGTGTGTGTGTGTGTGTGTGTGTGTGTGTGTGTGTGTGTGTGTGTGTGTGTGTGTGTGTGTGTGTGTTAGTGATTGTGTGTATTCATTGTTTTATTTTTCGCTTAATTAATTTAATTTCTTGACGCAATTTCGGCGTATTTAATTGTGCTTTATGAACTGCCATAAAATCAGCAAAAATATATGATATAAACTTATTAAAAAAAATACAAATTAAATATGAGCAAAAGCCCGACAAACGGAATTTCATAAATATTAATATGTATATATGTATATCTATAACTGAAAACAAGAGCAGCAACAACAAGCACACAGAAACTAACGATATATAAGCATTAATATTAACTCAATGCACGTCCAAAAAAAAAAAAAAAATCAAAATAAATAAAAGAAAACACGCATAAAAACTGAAAAACTGTTTTGTATAAAGCAACTGGAAAATCTTTGTCCTATTACGCAATGCAATTGTAAATTGCAAAATACTTTAAACTGTAAATTAGTTAAATTATTAGACATTAAACAAACAGACGTGATAAACAAAAAGAAAAAAGAAACATAAATTTAAACAGTTTAATAAATGTAAAATTAACTTTTAACAACACATACTTAACCTAATAGCAAGACAAAGAGAAGGAAGAAAAAACAAAATGAAGTCAAATGGTAGGACAGTGTATGTATTATAAAGCATACATACACATATACATATACACACAAGCCCATACTATATATGTACATATAAATGTTCAATGTTTATGGCTAAGTCTTAAAAATAAACATAATATACATTTAAATCAATTCAATGTTAAAGGCAATTTGTAAAATATGAGGAAAAAAAACGATAAACAAAGAAAACAAAAAAAAAACATTTGTTAGCAATTTTTGTATAATTTTAGCAAAAACAAAACAAAAGTATTTATAAAACTTTAACTAACCGCTTAAGTTCTGTGTACATATACTACAAATTTAGTGTTAAACTTAATTTATGTGCGTGTGAGGTAAAAAAAAAAAACAAAAACAAAAGCAAAATGGAAAAAAAGAATATGTAATATGTATATGTATACTTACTTCTAGAGCTACAGATATATATGTTGTAAGCATATGCGATAAATGTATTGTAATTGGCCATATTGATAGTTGAATATATAAAAAAAAACATACGTTTATTTAAATTTAAAGGCAATCACCAGAAAAGATATACAAAAATCAGAAAAAAATATATAAAAATACAAAAAAAAAAAAAAATAAAAACAAAAAACTACAAACAAAAACAAGCAAACAACAAAAAATAAATAAAATAATTTATGAAAAAAAGCGAGTTGGCTCTAATTGTGTTAGTGAAACTGTAGAACGGTAACTGACGGCAAAGATTGATTAATTGCGGCCAGATGATTGGACACAAATCGAAATCGAAATCAGCCGAGGCGCACAATTGTGCAGACAGACAATTGTGTGGAAGCAATGTATTTATAATGCCCATTTATGCTTATGAATTGCTCTTTAAATTTCGATGCGTCTTCAATACAAAACGTGCGCCGTCTTTGCCGTCTTGGCCGTCTCTGCCGCCGCCGAGGTGTTGGCCAACGCCGAAGTTCTAACGTCTTTTGGCCCAGTTGGTTATTTGTTATGCGGCATTTGTTGTATATTGAACGCATGAGTTATGAGCTGAAGACGCAGTTGCTTGTATTGAGGCGTGAAATGGCATGTTAATTTATTGGTACGACAACGGCAACTCCAGCCAACAGACAGCGCAGGCACAGTAAAAACATACACAAGCATTAGCCGCCAAAGTTCGTTGCCTAAGTCTTTTGTTTTACGAGTGCGCCGGCTGGTCATAAAGCGCACATCAACTGCAAATAAGCCCAGGTATGCAAAGTACCTTCACTCAGTTTATGAGTAGTTAAAAACTAGACTGCCCCCTGGTTTTATGGGCATGGCGCTAATTAATGGCCAACGCGTGTCTGTTGGCCATAAAGTCGGCATCCAGCTAAGCGAATTTGTATGTGCTTAAAGCCACATATCAATGCGCATTGGCTAATTTCATTAATTGTCAACGGGCATCCGCTTCCGTTGCACCTTGTGCCAATTTTGTTTTTGTTTTTTTTTTTTTTTGGTTTTTGCATTCACACGCAAGGCTCATCAAGAATCTATTTAATGAAATAATAACAATATATACAAATACCTAGCCTATCACGGCGAGTGCATCTTTTGGGCAGTGTAATTGAGCCGACAATTAAATGCACGTTAAACGCAGCCAAGCACAGCAACAACAACAATCTCTTATATAGACGCCATATTGTGCAGATCTATGTCAGAGAAATTGCACAGCATCACATGAGCGTGAGTCCCGTTTGGGAGGTCCTTCATTTGTCTAATTGCATTCAAGTTTGCATGTGTCAATGTTTCTACCTGACCACGCCCATAATTGTTATATAATTACATTGTTATTCGGTACCTTTTTTTGGGGGGGTGTGCGCAATTAACTTGTAATAATCACAAATAAAACTATGACATTAGTTGAACTGTTCTCTATCAGTTATGGACAGTCGCAGAACTTGAACGCAGCGATCAATGCATTACAAATGACTGGCCATATATAAATCAGTTAATCAGCATCTGCGATAAACGCTGGTGGGCCGCATATTCATATGTGCTGTGCCTGGGAAAGCTACGTGCCACATGCAGCTGACCATAACCAAAATATAAACCAGCCCAAAATACAATATGGCAGCATAAATCAATGGCTAGCTGAACAAAGTAGCAGCAGCGGCAGTCACAAATATTTGGGCATGCATTAGCTAATTAGTGTTTAGGCCAGGTCGAACGCACAGGAATAGAACAAACGTAGGGCCTTTATGATTATCCAATAGATAGCTGGGAACATGTGGTAGCAGTTGAATTGTTTATGCTCGGTATGTGACTAACGACATATCATATTTGTTGCTGCTAGCTCTTATAGTATCTGTGATCGGGGCGTTTCTATAGCTAATAAGCTGAACAGCTTATGCTAATCAACAAACGCAGTCCTCTTTCTGACAACTATATCAATATAACTGACTAGAATGGAATATATATTAGAAATAACGCAAGCAACCTTCAGTAACTTCTTTTAAAAATGATCTTTAGATAAATGATAGAAAGAAGAACAAATAGTAAAGTTTTACGAAAGGTTTTTTGACTTGTTAACTATACATATAAAAAGTGCCTAGGTAATTGTTTTTATAGATACACTTAAACATTCCATTAAACAAAAATTGCAGTTAAGAAGGCTGCGCTTTTTATTACATACCAATTTTAACACTTTCTGAACTATAAAAAAAGTACGATTTCAAAATTCGAATTATTAACTTATCCTTTTTTTTTTTATTTTGCCATAAAGGAGTATTGACAATTTCACCTCAAAGATGAACAAAAAGAATTTAAGCATGTTGGTTCTTATGCTTTAATATCTCGTCCCAGTATCCGACACTTTGGCTAGAAAATTGAGGCTTTGTAGAGGAAAGTTTAATATTTCTTCATAGAGTTGCAATATTTGCCCATTTCAACAACGGCTATTAAAACTATTCGAAAAAGAGGCTTATACAAGAGATATTTAACCTTTAGAGAGATGCGCCTCCCAAGGGTACATCTCTATAACCTAACAACTAGGCGCATTATTTAAGTGCTTGAGATTATCAGGTTTTAAATTAATACCCCTCCATTTAAATACTTTATAAGCAACACAGCATTGTAACTATACTCTACTTTAATTAATGTCCAATCAGCATCGCACGGCTATATCATATATATATGTATATATATATATGTATTTACGAAGAATAACTCAAAAAATTAGTTTTTGCACAGAAAAATATATATTTCTTTTATTTCTTCTCAAAATATTATCACCCAAATTCAGAGATTTTCAGATTTTTAGCTCTACTCGCATAGGCCAAGCCTTGCTCTTAGTCAGGTGTATGTCTTCAAAGGATTTGCGATACGCCGAAGTTAGACAGTCTTTCTCGTATTCATCTTTTAAAAATAAATGAACTTGGTATCCGTAAATTTACAGCAGGCATAACATATGTCAATGACAGTTGGCTGTTAGAGATCTAGACTTTTCGTAGATCTTTCTTCAGGCAACTATATGAAATTTGATATCATAAATCTATCTATATCAAATATATAGTTTTGAATATTGTGCTACTTTTCTCTTAGAATACTGAGTAATTTTTCTTCATTCCAGCTTTTATGTAATTTTCGACAAGAGATAGAATTCAAATAAGCCCGTTCAACTGGTTAAGGCACTTGGTGCGTCATATAATAAGGGATTATATATATGTATATGTATAGGTATATATATTCATATATATAGTTGCAAACAAAAGCAGCGATGGCAACAATTATTTGGTCATGCATTAACTAATTAGTGGCAGTGGCAACAGCGTTCCGATAACATTGGGCCTTTGCCTCCTACCGTCTGCCTCTGCCTCTGCCTGCCACCTCGCCTGCTACTGTCTGCTCCTCTGCCGTTGGTGCTGCTGCTGTTGCTCTTCCTCTTGTCCCTGCCATTGCCATGGTTTGTGCGCTCGTGCGTTTGGGCTGCAGGTTTATCTGATTGAAAATGTATGGCCAACAATGGCGACACACAGCAAACGGCCACGCACACCAACACACACACACACACACACACACAAGTATAGAAGCACACACATACAGTTACAGGCAAACAAACAAAATGCTTCTTTAGATGATTAACTATGATAGGACACTGTAGCCATTGGTCCAAAAGAATATCGATACATTTGTTAGATTTAAATGGATTTTAATATAGCACAGTTCAACACCGACGCCTCGCCTGGAAACCAATTTAATTAGCCAGTGTCCATGTTGCGTTATTATCTGCAAAGCCATTACATAATGTACCATACAAATATATGTGGTATATAGTATATATAGCATGTGCATGACTATTTATCAGACTTGCATCAGAGCCAAAGCTCATCAATGCAGTTGCCCAGGCAGCTGTTAAAT